TTTTTCTCTGTATCTATGAAGCGCCTTGAGGCGACTTTTGTTGTGATTTGGCGCTATATAAATAAAATTGAATTGAATTGAATTGAATATAGTGCAGGAGATGATACAGTTAACAAAACATCACCTCATCCAATAAAGAAGAACAGCATTGTAGCATTATAAAGCATTAAAACTGCATGTTAGGCTTTTATAAACGTAAAACTACAATAAATACAAAGATAAAGATCCAGAACAATGACAACATAAAGACTGTATTTCATTCAGCTGAGCTGGCTGCTGTGTCCTTATAGAGACCTGATCAAACGGAACCTTAAAGGAGGTTACTTACACACCTGAACAGAAACTAGAAGATGTGAAATTATAAATTAAGTTCTATGTTATTACGATTTCCTGTTACAAGCTTTTCAGTTTGGGTGCTCCGAAAAGGAACATTTTTTATAAAAATACAGATGACATCCTGATCTGGTGTAAATGCAAAGGTGACATCTTTCTGGAATTTTGTGTTGACAAGAGTTTCAGAGAACCTGACCTCTGACCTCTTAGGTGGGACGTAACAAAGTACTTCGTTACTGTATTTATGTAGAATTTTCAGGTATCTGTATTTTTCTTCTGACAACTTTTACTCCCTACATTTTAAACATGTCTGTTACTCCAGGTTTATTTAAAGAGAATTTAGGTTTTTTAAGTCTGCACAAACATCAACAGACAGAGGAAGAGTGAGAGACAACTTCAGTCAGAAATAAAGAAAGATGAGAAAGACAGGACAGGAGAGGAAGACGAGAGGTTGGATTTAAAGGTCAGGATGGCTCAGTAACTGACAAATTTAAGACATTTTGTCTTGTAGCTTGTGAAACATCTGCTTACATCTTGTTGAAATCAGTTTTGTAAATGCACACAGAGCAGCAGATCACAGCCTGTGCACAAAGGAAATCTACTGAAACTCACATTAGAAATACAGTGAGCTGTGATTCTTGTCCCTGAGCTGAGCCACAGCACATGCTGTATCTCACTTTGACCCCTGACAGCACTCATGTGTGAAGTCATCCTCTTGATTCAGTAATTTGACTTTTACCAGAGTATTTTTACAAGTATCTGCACTTCTACTTAAATACAGAATGTCTGTACTTTTTCACCTCTGCCTGACCCAGAGGTCAGATTTAAACTAGTCCCAAATTTCTAGGAGATGCACCTGTGACGTAACTATGAAAATCCTTCATTCTCCAGTTACGGCGTTCACAAACTTGGCTGCCTTCTGACCATTGTTGATGCAGTTTCATGAATCCACAGCTTGATCAAACCCAGTAATAGACGCACCATACACCTACAGCACCAAAGGATCTGCGGCCAGCATCCTGTGCCAGACCATAGACACCAACACTGGTACAGCTGGTTTTAATGTTGTGGCTGGTCTGTGCATTAATGCTACCCATGCTGATGTTGTACCTCCTGAGGAAGCTCAAGTTTGGAGCGGTCAGTGCCCTCTTTGGACTGCAGGCCCATCAGGTAGGGAACAGGTGCATCTAGGAAATGCAGGAGGGAGGCTGGCAGGATGGGAACATAGACGTGCTGCCACTGGAAGGGAAATAGGAGGGTGGTGATGCCCTCTGCC